TTATCAAATTTTTGTGATCATATTCCAAAAAATCAATATGGCAATATGACTGCAAAACAACCTTTCTCACTTTCTCATCTTCTGGGCTGATGAGATGATCATCTTCTCTCATCTGGGAAAATATCTGTACAATATGCCTTTTAATAACTGCATAATGTTCAACTAGTTAATATCATTATGTCTGATCCTACAGTCTTTATTACTTGCAAGTAGTCCCATTAACACTGGTGATTGCTGAAATTAGTTTTGTGGCTGTCCCCCAAACAAAGAATGAAGAATCAGGACCTACAAATTAAAATCAAATCACCTGTGCTGAAAAATACTGTTCCTCTTATGGAAGATAATCCTAGAATTTATGTTCAGGGGTGTGTATACATAGATATATATATATTTACATTATTCATCAAAATACTTTTACAAGCTTTTTAAAGCTACCTGTTCCTAAAAAGCAACATAGAATCATATCTACAGCTCATATCAACAGCTTTTAAAAGGCAGTTAGGAGCATTCATATGGGTTATGCTGTGTTTAATCGTTCCTCAAATATGAATGTTAATGTTTAGTAGTCAGGTTATCACAAATGAAATTCATATGAAGGAACATACGTGCAAGATGTACGTTTAAACCATTACCATGACCAACGTGCCTTTGCTTTCAAAAGAACCCAGAGACCTTCTTTAAAAATCTTTTAAGAAGATAGCAAGAAAGATGAATCTATTTAAAAAAATGGATAATTTAATGAATTACTTCTCTATTTACATTTACAGAAGTACAGATTTCCCAAATTATTTTTAGGAGAGAATTTTACATTTTCTCTTGCATTTAAAGTGTGAGAATATAGACTGTAGACAAATGTTACGGCATAAATGGCAGAAATTCTGAGCAAGTTTATGTACCAATAACTACCACCAAACAGTACTCACTCATATTAAAAAACTCTGAGTAGAAACTTCATGCAGTTTTAATAAAACTCTTAGAAGTTGAACACACCTCCAGTATAAATGGAAACATACAAAAAAATACGGATCTTCATGGATGGATATCAAAACACTAGTATCCGCTGGCATCACTATCTTATTAATAAGTCAGTCAAATTAATGTCAGATTTGAAGGGGAAAAAAACCCCCCAAACTCTTTCTATCTTGAGATAGCACAGCATTCTCTTAAGCATAATACTCACATAGTTCAGCAAGAATACATCCAAATCATAACACCTGAATATAGACACTTTTTCCCCCAATAAAGTTTCATATTGTTCTTTTCTTTCCATTTTTTCCCAGTTATATCAACAACCTTTGAAATTACGCACATTTTTTAAAATAAAAGCACACTGTCGGTTCAGTAGATGGAACTTGCTTTTTTGTTTGTTTGTTTACTGAGATGGGCCATCTCACACAATAATACAAGAGCTGGGAGAGAAAGCCATCTAGACTGATTTCTTCCCACTGAACAACATTAAGAAGGATGAAAAACCTGTGCAAGCATTTCTGAAATAGATTTAATGAAATTTAGCATTCATCAGGGAAAAATCATAAATGAGAGTTAAACTTTAACTCTCCAGATGGTGTGCAGAGTCTTCACAAGCCATTGTAAATATAACAGTATAAGTCCTCAAAACAAGAATTCCTAGAAAGAAAAAGAAAACTGTTTCATGTTCAGTGAATACAGCAATACATTCTGTTGTTTCCATGTGCAAAATTTTAAGGTTTTGATTCTGAACGCACTTTGAACAGGCTTCCCAGTCTCTTCAACAGTCAATCCAGATCATTTGAAGGATTAGATTTTATTGTACAAAAGTGAAAGGCAAGCTTTGGACTCCTATCACTTAAGAAAATCAGACAGAGAATGTTTTTCCTACTAGGTGTGCAAGACAAACTACGAGGCACATCCTTTTCACTTTACTCAAACAAGGAGTCTGGTGCAATAAAGACAGAGAAAAATGGAAGAACAAGAAAAAGTTACTGTCCGATTTACTACTGATATCACATTCTCAATAAAATAAAGAGGTGCCTGACTGCCTCATCTCCCATCACAGTCTGTCTGCAGCTCAGCACCAAAACACTGTAGAGAAGGAAGGGTATTGATGGTGATTCACAGAATCACAGAATGGTTAGGGTTGGAAGGGACCTCTGGAGATCATCTAGTCCAACCCCCCTGCCAGAGCAGGGTCACCTACAGCACGTTACACAGGACAGCGTCCAGGCGGGTTTTGAATGTCTCCAGAGTGGGAGACTCCACCACCTCTCTGGGGAGCCTGTGCCAGTGCTCCACTACCCTCAAAGTAAAGAAGTTCCTTCTCATGTTAAGATGGAACTTCCTATGTTCAAGTTTATGCCCATTACCCCTCGTCCTATCACTGGGCGCCACTGAAAAACGACTGCTCCCATCCCCCTGGCATCCTCCCATTAAGTATTTGTAAGTAATAATAAGATCCCCCCTCAATCTTCTTTTCTCTAGACTAAAGAGACCCAAGTCCCTCAGCCTTTCTCCATAGGAGAGATGTTCCAATCCCCTAATCATCTTCGTTGCCCTTTGCTGGACCCTTTCCAGCAGTTCCTTGTCCTTCTTGAACTGGGGAGCCCAGAACTGGATTCCACAGCACTGCTATCTCATTGTACTTCATGTAGTGCAGAGTCAGACATTAGCTATGGAGAAGAAGCCTCTCTACCAGCAACTATTTGTTTTCAATCCCTGGTAACCTGTCTTCAAGCAGTTAAAAAATGACGTTTCACCTCCTGGAGGACTATTTCTAGTAATATTCGGCTTCAAATCCAACAGGAACTTACACCTAGATCATGTTTCATCAATTCCCCGTATATCTATTTTAAAAGTCTTAATTCTGCAATTCTGCAGATGATTGCACCCAAATAATTTGTATTAATATTCTTGATTTTACTCTCAGGCCATATTTTACATTTTCTTGTTTGTTATGGTCTCAATGATTTTTTCTGAATCTTTCTAGAGGTAGCTGGGAGAGAAATTATTTCACCATTGATAAATATTTCAGACATTTCTACTATTCCATCTTTTTCTTGATAAAAACTGCAAGTTTAACATAAAATTTATCAGGAATTTTAGTGTTCTGGACATTAGAGCACTCACCCAGACATAGGTAAATCAAAAGTAAATCACATACAAAGCAGACAGATCCAGATTCAGATCTCTGCTCTTTCTCAGGAGAGCCTTATCAAACAGGCTGTTTTATTCATCTCTGTATCACTTCACTACACAGACCTGTTGAATTCTTTCCAATTAAGCTTTTAAAACATAGCACAGACTGCCAAAGTTTTAGTTTTTATTGCACACTTTTTTTTAAAATTAAAACAATACCAAAACATTTAGTATAAATAAATAAGTAAGTAGGTCTGGAGCGACCCTAGTTCTTCCCACTTAGCCAAAAATGTGAAACAGAGCTGGATGAGGAAAAAAAGTTACAAATTATGTTAGTATCCTGAACACTCAAAAATGGAAAATAATTAAGCAGAAAAAAAAAAAAAAAGAGTTCATTTGCACTCAAAAGCTACATTGATTTAATTGAGAAAGATTTAGCTTAAGCCAGCTGAAGATTTTAAGCAAACAAAGTATTTATACCTGGCTCACATATTTCATTTTTAGTCCTTAAACTTATTGTTCCCGAGGAATGTGCAAAAGCAGATCATGCCACATAAGGCTAATCAGAAGGGAAAAAAAACACCAAACCAAACAAAAAAACCCCACAAAACCCCAAAAGCAAACAAGAAAGGAGTTGAATTCCTAATCTAGTTTGTAGAAGATTAGTCTTGATTTGGTATTTAGCCAGAAGTTTACTAATTAGAAAGGAATTCTATCACCCTGAAAAGGGAGTGATACAAATAGAAAAAGCACCATAATCATTAGTTATCAGTGTGGTGACTACATGGATCGATTGCTTTTTTTCTTCATACCATATCAAAAATAGGATAAAGTGTTATGGTAATTAAAAGTAAATTAAACTGTTCCAAATGATACAGTTCTTATTTCAACAAATTTAAGAGCTACCCTGTACTCAAGACTAAGGAGTAGACGCGCTTTTATCAGAGGAATGAGGACTCCCTGTACTTCCTATCAAGGACTGGCAATAGCTACAAAATCACTGTCTTGCACAGCTGTCTTTTCCTACTAAGGGCACCAGAACCAGCTCACTGACCCGAGGACACTTGTTTCATATTCTTAGGACCTGTGCACTTAGAGGAGCCTTTGATAACAAAGATTAATCAAACGCCAAAGGTAATAACGTCAGTTAACAAAGTATTAACAAAATTCATCTTGGAAATACATAACCATCTCAAAAGCAGAAATTATTTCCTGCAAGTGATGAGTTGAGACTTTTTACCCCGTAACTGGCAATTATTTTTTTTTAATGCGTGCTGCCATCAAGCTACCCAAAAAGCATGATGCAACAATCATGCAGCTACCAAATATGAAACTCAGCTGAGACTGAAACTGACAGGGGAGTAGCTGCGTATTGTGGAAGCTCCGTTTCACTGAATGTTAAAAGGAAAGCTGGGCTTGCTTCTCCTCGGGGTTACAAGTGTTTGAAGACTTCTAGAATGCATTTATGTTTCTTGTAAAAAATGCACATATACAGAGTAAAAACTATTCTGAAAACTACTAGAAGAAGAAAGGATGGATAGTTAAAAGCTTTTATGTAGGAAAGATGAAAATACTTACATCTACACCTGCACAAAATGGTGGCAAGTCAAGCAGAGATTTTCCATAGCGTTATTCTATTACTGTTTTAAGAATTTATGACTATAGCATCTCGGTGAAAGTAGTTGCTATTAACCATATAGTTTTGATACAGCTCAACAAAACAAAATGAGTATTATCAAAAGACTGTGATCCTGAATCTTTAACTTTTCTTCGAGCAATGTAATTCCATGGAATGCAGTCAATGTTTCAATAAGAAGTATCAGAGTTCATGCTTTTACTCCTCCCCCTCTCAGCCTCCTCAGTATTTGCAACTTAAATGTTGTTATCCCTTATCCTTCCAGGGACCAGTCCAAAAGCCAATCAGGAGATCGATGACGGGAATGTTCAGGTGATGATGTTCTTAACATAGAGCTTAACTGATATGAGATTGTACGACTCTGGCATCGAAGCTCCTGTACAGCACATTCCCTAAATAGACATTATTTCACAATGAGACTAAGCACTTTTCAAAAATCATCAAAATGATCTCATAGTCACTATCATAATTTTCTTTTTAAGATTGTCAGCTTTTTTATTTTATTTTATTTTAAAAGGAGATGTGGTGGTCATCATATACTTCTCTGAAAGACAGATTAGTGACTCTTTCTGTATTACTTCCTTACTCAGATTTAGTTCTACATATCCATTGTCTCTATTTTCCATAAAAGACAGAAGCTAGCCATGGTTGCTGCAGGTTAAACTCTACAAACTGTAAAAATCTCCTAATTTTAAGGTTATTCACAAGTCTGCAACATAAGGACAATCACTAAAAACAGCAATGACATTAATGCAAGAACAGTTTTGCCTCTGGTATTCTTGTGCTGTTTGAGTTGGCAAGGCCAGTGGGATAGAGTCTACCTGAAGTGCCCTGAAACTGATGGGTACTTAAGAGATGCTGGACTCCCCAGTGGGAAAGTTGTAAAATGGTAGTCTAGTCATTTTGACAGCAGGGGGTAGAGCCTGGCTGCTGGATCAATCCGTAGCTCCTGCATCTGGGTGTATGGGGAGGAAGTACGTGGGATCAGATAATATGTTGGAAAATTATGGAGGTACACACTCCTCTGGGATCCTGGTTTCAGGATGCCAGTTGTTTACGTGAGGGGAATCTAGTCTGTGTTGGACTAGGAAACTACTAGGAAGGGTGGCTACAACCACCCCTCGGTTTCAGCATATAACCCCAGTAAAACCTGGACAATGGTTCATTATAAATGAATGGGTGTACTGGGAGGATAGCACTGACCCAGGCTGGAAAAAAAGGACTCCAAGTTGCCCAAAACCTTGCAAATGAAGGTATAACCAGGACTGAAACTGACTCCAGTGTGCCTTAGCCATTACCAGAGACCTACCTATGGAGCAGATCACTGAAGCGGATCACTAAAACCTGCAGCAGAGGGATCAGATCCAGCACCAGCTCACGGATCTGAATCTACAGGCAAGGAAAGGGTTCGCTCTAGCAGCAGCAGCCCAGTGAGACAGTAAGTCGTTCACCTAGCTACCAACATCCCACAACCTTGTGCCTGGGGAGGTGTCATATGCTCTGTAAAGACCACAGAACCAGACATCTACATTGTCTGGTTGATAGTCTTACTAGCATTATTGCTTTTAAGGTCTTCACTATGCACATGCTGTACTGTCTTTAATGGTCAAGATGGTGCTGGCAATGGTGGGAAGTCACAGCGCAGCTGCTTGCAGCTCTCACAGGTAACACTGCTCTGTAGAATACCAAGTTTGGGTATAAAATTAGCAAAACTGTGACCAATTGGGAAAAGTAACCATGGCCAACTTTTTTATTTGGGAGGAGACTGTGGCAGAGAGAGGAAGGTACAAGGGCAGCAAAGAAGGGTCAAGAAACAAAGGGATAAAAAGGTATGTGAGTGGGGTTGTCCAGGGATATCTGACAGTCAGTCCCTGTGCTTGGTCACCACAGCCAGAACAGGAAAATAAATCAAACCTGTTGTCCAAACTGCTTCCGCAGTCAGGAGGATGGGAGAGATGGGGAGGTGCTTTTTCTGAATGGTAAAGAAAAACCCAGACAGATGGATTAAGCCTCCTAGTATCACTGTGTTGGTGCTCATTCAAGGCCTGACAGCACTGGCACTTCCACCTCCTAATTTCAGGCATTACTTCATTCTGTGCCAAGGCAGTAAATCAATATGACTATCTAAGTCAGTGTTAGAACAAGGATATCATCTACCCACTTGTTTAAACTGACAACAACAACAAAAAAAAGTCAGTACTGACATCTGCTGCTTCCATTATATACTATCATGATACCAACTTTAATGATAGTATTTTTCCTCTCTGGCTAATTTTCTGATTTTCACTTGCCACTACCAGAAAAATAGACTGGCCGTAAGAAGCCAGCTGGGAGCTCTAATCCCTTTCCCTGCAAGCAAGAGAGATAGATACCTGCTCTGGTAAAGCATGACTTTCTGAGGAAAAACAGAAAAGAAGTAAAATTCTTGTAACCTTTGCAGGACATTGATGGCTCACGGTTTTGATTTTATGAAAAAAGCTCTAGCCTTTCAAAGACAGCTAAATCTAATGTCAGCCTCAGATTTCTATATGAGAACATTTCAGTCTTTGCTACCTAAGATTTCTGCGTGTTGTTTTTGCAACTGACTTACTAACTGCATAATGGAACCTAGCTTTGTTCTTTCCAAAACAATTCAGATAAATATGTTTGTAATTCTCTTGAAGTAGAAGAGAAATGGTCTTCAAGAATGAGAAATGTTCATCTTTGCTTCAGATAGGCTCACTCTAATATCCATTTTGCTAACCATCTGTAAACTAATGTTGATACTATTGCAGCTATAAACAACCACATGAGTAACAAATTATCCTTAACTAGGAGACGAGATGAAGTATGGAGTCTGATTCAACTCTGCCAATGAGCACTTCAAGAAGAAACATTTGCAGTCCCTACCAGGGAGCACCCACACACCATGAGATGGATGCATTCACACAGGGGGAGTAGAGAAACAACAGTCTGAAGGAGATCAAGTTTCTTTTAAAACAAAGGTACTCCTGTGTTAGCATTCAGCCTGCCTCATTCTATGCAGCTGAAGAAACACAAATGATGCCACCTTTCAAACTGACTTGCACATCTAACTCAAAAGTTTAGCAGTTTTTGCCATGACTTCAGGGTAAAGGAGGATCCAATTTGAAATTGAAACATACACAGAGACATTTAAGAAATCCATCTTTGAAACCCATCAGGTATATTTGCCCTCTCCAAAACCCTCATCCTTACCTATAAGAGAACAGAGTATCAACGAAGCAATTCATTACAATTAAACAAGACACCCGATTCTCAAACCTGTGCTGTAATCACATCACTCTGCTTCTTTTGGTCCTCTCTTTTATATACCCAAAATAATGCCTGACATGGTAATATTTTATCCTCAATACAACCATGAAATAGAAAAGTACTGTTGTTTCACAGATAAAACTATTTAAGACACTGAGACTACATAGATAAACTAACTCATGAGCAGACCAGGGACTGCTCTCTGGTGCTGCGTCCAAATCATATGAAACAGCTTTTACATAGTGTTAGATGCTCTTCCCACAAAAAAAAAAGTAAAAAATTAAAAATTTACTTTGGCCATACTACCATTTGGGAACCATCCCTAGCACCTTCTGTGCCCCAAGCAGTACCTGGGAGAAAGCAGATCTGTATGGGCTAAAATCATTCCAGAGCGTGTACCAACAATTAAACTGTATGGAGAAGTATAGAGTTGCGTGGACCTCTCAAGTCAATGCTCTGACCTGGTTTAGTTCACTAGTACAAGCGTAGCCAAAAGGTAGCCATTCGTATCGCAGAACTAGTAGTCTACAAATTGCTTGTCTAGCCAGCTAGTCACCTAGACTCTCACTATAGATCAAGACAAGCATCACTATAAATGAGTGAAGACAGACGAGCATCTTCAGGAAAGCGATCCATCCCATCCTAAAACGGGGAATTTATCTTCACTGTCTCGTTCCATTGGCTATAAAGGAAATCTAGACAACTAATTTAGACAGCATGTACACAGACTGAATTCAGTGACATGAATAGCCTCCGAACACACAGGAGATGTACATCAGAGCAATACCTCACTTTGCTGTTTATCCTACTGATTAGTCTAAGTCTTAGTACTATATTGCTTTTTACCCCAATTAGATGCAGGAAGCGCAATACAAAAACATATACTTGCCTTTCAAAGCACTCAGTCCCCAGCTGCCTTTGGGTGATATCCAGTTCTGACTCTAGCTGAGCTGCTCTATTTCTGAGCTGAGTAAAATCTTGACTCTGCATAGCACTGTGAAGTCCATACACTTTAATTAGATAGCAACTATAATCCTCCAAGTATGGTACCAAATGCAATTATCCAAAATTAAAAGAGCATCTATACCATGCAATTGAGATTAAGAACATTTTTTGGGGGACTAAAATACAATACTACATAGAAAAGTCTATTAGGGTATAGCTGGGGAATCAGAAGCATGTTTTTGGTATCTTCCACTGTTACAGTAACTAAGGTACATTGACCATTTGAAAATGCATCTAGATATAAAACCATCTGTGTGTATATTCACTTGGGAAGAATGAAAAAACCTGCAATATTCTCCTGGTCATTTACTCACAGTTTATTTTCTGCTAAAGAAAGCTGTTTCTTGAGAAACTGAATTTCAAGAGTCTTTTTCTTGCTTTGCTGTCTGTGACTGAAATTCTTTCTCATGACTGGACACAAGCAAAAATTCCATGTTTTTCATAGACGATCTTTCATTTCCCAGTTGTTTTCTCAGCAGCTCTATTTCAGAATTGGATGACTCACACTTGCTCTGCAGCTAAACAAAGATTTTAAAGTTTTATCTATCTATTACACTAATCTTTTTTTTTTTTTTTTTAAATACAGAGAGACAGAAAAAGAAAAAAGGAAGTCTGGGATGTATGACCAAAATTCGCTCTCACTCCAAGATGGATGATTTGTGTTGTATTTGCCCTCAGTCAAAATCCTGTGTCAGACTTATAAATTCATCCAATGTATATATCAGAATATAAATGTACTTGATAGAAATGACAAAATACTATGAAATATATGGATCAATGGATACAGACTATAGACCGAATCATTAAAAAGAGAAGTTCTACATTTTGCTGAGGCACGAAAATACTGATTAACCATTTGCATGCAGGAAATGACACCTGGTATAACAAACCAATATCTGGATCTCCAGCACTTATATTACTTAAAGGAGCATAAATTTGAAGGGAAAGATTTTGAGAAAATGAATAAAATCCAAACTGAGATGAGATTAAGCATCTGTGTATCTTGGGGGTACATAAAAAAGAATAATATCCATAAAACCTAGAATGTTCCACTGAAAAGGGAACAATGGATGTACCTGAGACCTAACTACACAAAAAGATTTAAAAAAAATCCCAACAAAACCCAAACAAATAAACAAAAAACCAAAGCCAGAGACAGCGAGTCAGGAAACTCTGTATTGAGTCAGCTACAGAGACACAGAAAACTGCCTGTTTTAATCTTAGTGTTAGCAAGCCAGATGCTATTTTTCCTTCATCTTTTCATGTATGCATTTTAGTATGTCTAACCGAGTCCGTTTGGGGTACTGCAAACACTTTTATCTGTATTTTACTCAAATCTAGTTTACATTAAGCACAATAATGCTCACCCAAAGGTCATAGTAAATCTATGAACCAAGATGTCTTAACAGACACCGCACCTCTCCAGCACATTCTTCAGAATTTTCAGAGGATAACCATTTATGTATTCAAACCAGATAGTGAGAGAACTAAGGCCATAGGCCAACAGGGAAAAAAGAGAGGGGAAAAAAAAAGGAAAACACACACAGAAAAAAGAAAAAAGTTTTTTTCAATTTCCAAAGCAAAACTCAGATGATTTGGTTTTACCCAACTAAACTAAAGAATACTGAACACTGTAGACAGCATAAGTTATAGGAAATTAAACAGTATTAGAAACACTGAAAGAAAAGTATTATTCAGCATCAGGTTTAATTTCCACTTCTGAATACATATATGCTGCAATCTAGTAATGCAGATTTCTGCATTGGAATACTATGTAAAATAAGAGCCCTGTCTGACGGTTATACATGGCTGATGAAAGATTACTCGTTGAAAGGTATGAAAAAAAATAGCGAAAATTTCCCAACCTCAGACTTTTCTCCAACTTGCCAACTGAATTTCTGCATTTTTCTCTCCTGAAACTGTTGCTGCTCTCCACAGTCCCAGCAAACCCTTTCAATGACAATCTCACAGAAGGATCCAGGAAGGCTTAATCATATTAGATCTCACAAAAGCTTCAGACAAACGTCTTATGCCGGAAATCTTCCCTATCGAAAGCATCCTAGAGGATTCCACAAGCATACCAAAGACATCACACACATTTGGCTGGAACAAATACCCAACAGTCAAACAGCAGCTTTACCCATGGCATATGGAAAAGGCATAAAGGTCAAAAGAGAACGATGGAAGCCTGTAAGAAAACAAGAAATCATCTCCGCTGGAGCAGAGAATGGACAGGACAGTGATAGAATCATACTGAAAATATCTGAATAATCTGAGTATGTATGAACAATTTTTCAGTTTATCCAAGCTGAGGTTTTAAAGATTTGCCTATCAACCATGAATTTTGTAGGTTTTGCAAAAATCAAGGTCAACAGAAATTTATTGTCAAGGGAAATTAGGGAGAGACTATTAAAGAGATACTGATACTTCCTGAAGTAGTCAAGCAAAAGTCAAAGTCTGTGTCAAGTTTCTTTACTAATAAACTGCTCCAGCTACTCTGCTTACTTAGTCACTAGATGTGAAATCCAAGACATTTTTCAAGAAAGCAACCAGTAATTTTAAGTCTTGACTTTTGATTATTCATAAAAACCCTTGCAAAGCAGTGAGCTTTTCAAATAGTATACAGCATCCACCCTCTGAGAAGTAAGTCCCTAAGGAATGCCAAATTAAACACTTAAAAAATTGAATTGCTAATCATCAACAGGGATTTCTTTGATCATTCTAGATCCCAAAGTAGATTTAGATCCCTTAAGTATAATGTTAACACAAACTTATTTTTCTAATATATTTCACATACCCTTTTTACCTTCTCTGCTGTGTAAATTAACTGCTGATTTATTTAATCCTTCTTTGCATCTAGTTTAATGCAAAGTTATTGTGTAGATGTGAGATTTGCAATTATAGAAACTCTCTCACGATGTATTTTTGAAGCTCTACATTTTCACAAGAGACTTGCTTAAGGCAGAAATCTGAGACTTGTTTGCGGCGTCTGTTGTTAAATGCTACAGTAAAGGAATATCAGATAATCAAAACTCTACTGCAAAGAAAATTTAAACTGCTTCCAAAAACCATACAAAAGTATCTCTATGTAATTGCAGTGAATTTTAAGAGGCAGCACTATTTTTTTCTGGAATAAACTTTAAAGTTATTTCTTTAAATAACTTACATATATAAAAACTGGAAGAGAAAAGTTCTTGCTTCTTACAGCAAAATCAGCTACTGACATTTTCAACTCTATTCCTAGAATTCTACTCCTCCTACAGAGCTAATAAGGTTCAAAATTCTGCCATGGGCCCCACTCCATTTTCAGATTAGACCCTCTTATTTTAGCAAAAAAATGTAATCTTGCATTTAGATGATCAGTGAATGCTGGATACTGTCAGTTATATTTATACTGCTGTCACCCCTAAACTCAGGCATGACTACGCAGTCAGTAACAGAAGTGACACTAAAAAGTCCACAAGCCAGCAGCAGCAATTCTGACTACAGGCATTCATAATTTTGTATGTTTTAAATTAACATAGCCTAGGTTTTTCCCTTTTGAAAAATGCCTGTACTTTGCCCTGTGACACCTGACTTGTATTTCTGATCACTTTTAACTGCTTAATTTTCAGTAGGTGGCAGAATGAGTCTGGGAGGTTGTTGACAAAAGCAACGGAAGAGACAAAGCACTGTGGCTTCCTTGAAGGATTTCTTAGGAATGAGACCAAAAGAGATGGTTGCAGGGGGAATACGTCACATTAATTCTCGCTCTGTCTTGCCTAAAAAAAGCACAAGGATTTATGTGTTAAGATTTTTTAATAAAAACTTTTGTGTTTTAGATATGTGCTTTACATGTAACTGCTATGAAGCTGAACATGATACCAAATTTGTTGATGCAGTTTTCATGAAGAGGCCTCTTTATTATCACACTTAATAGCAGGCATGTGGGAAGGAATTAGAAGGATGAAATCTCTACCCGTATGAGGCTGGCTGGACAAACTAGGACCATGTACCAGTTTTATTATATTAAAAAAGTGTCAAAAACTGCCAAACAATCTTTCTGTGCTGTTTTGCTACTGTTATGTTCTCATCTATTTCCTGAACAGCTGCAGCTCAGTTCCTCCTGAGCATCGTACGTGCAGAGGTAGTCCTCGGTAGCCTATGTGATATTCAGGAAGAAGAGATTATCTGCAACAAAAATGGTAACAACCCAAAACCAGAAGATAGTTTATATGTTCGTAACTCATTTTCAAAGCCATGCTGTGCACATCCCTTTAAGTTCTTCAGATTTTCAAGGGGGAAGAGGATGTGTGGGACACCTAAAGCTGTGGAAAGGAGGTTGAAAAGCTGGAAGCAAGAAAAGCAGGAACAGGAACGTAACAGGTGACAAAGCACTAGGTATGTTTCAGGTATGCTGTGGAGTTGTGTGTGACATTATGCCTTCAGTCATTGCAGACATGACAGCATTTTATAGCTTTTTTTACCTTGAAATATTTTTTAAGATTTTTTTTCCCAAGTGTGACTAATGGAATTCTAGTGATGTTATTAAATAAACTCAAACTCCATACAGTTCATCGTAGCAAATACCTCTAAAATATGAGAAGTGTCACTAAGCATATTTTTAAACAGCTGCAAGCTTAAAATACTACCAGACCATTTCAAGGGTGAGCTATGGAAAGACCGATTCCAACTTACTTGCTCTATCTCTGTTCCAAGGGACTCCATTTTCCCTTTCAATCTGCAGTTCTCAGACTCCGCACTGATCAGTGCCTCTCTAACAGAGCTACAGTCTTCTTCTGCTTGATGGCATTTTGCTTCCCAAGTTTCTCCTTGTTCACGTGCTCTGTGGTAAGTCTCCAAAAGTTCGCAGTTCTCCCTCTCCTAATACATAAAGCTTGTTTAATAATTTACAGCAAGCTTCACAAAATAGGGATATCTGTAGATCTACAGGTATGACATGGTCTTGGATGTTGTCTTTCCACTGAAAACTTTGCCATTTAGCCAAAACATTGAGAGAATTCTCAAGAACTAGTGTTTCGTTCAAGATGGCTGTATTTTAGCAAGTCAAATTCATGAGCTTTTAAGGGCTCTGGGCCAGTCACAGCACAGGATAAGAAATAACTCACTGGCTCCGTTATAATACTTTTCCATATAAGCAGTAGCTATAACTGCCACAGTGTTTTTACATAAAGATCAGAGAAAAACATTAATTAGCTGTTCCTCAAGATAAACATCCAAGCCACTACATAAGACTAGCCACTACATAAGAATGGTGATATCTTTCTCACAGATAGAGTGCTTCAGAAGATTTTCTATGCAGCAAATAAAAAATACTTCAGGTGTGACAATACTGCCCAATGTAATAGAAACGATAGCTTTTCCAGTGGTTAAGTTTGCAAGTCATAAAACAAAGCTGTTTTAATACTTAATCGAGTAAAAAAATATTTATACATTAGCACATCCTATGATTCATTTTTTTAAATTAATGATATAAATTAATCAAAATTTAATAATAATCTTGACAATTGACCCTTACTTTGTGGAACAGTCCACCTCAGAAATCAGGATCTTGAAATCTGAAATGACTTTCTCCTTCAAAAGAAATACAAAATTAAAATAAACCTCTCACCACTCCTCAGTATAAATGGAAAAATAAAGTTAAATAAGATTATCTGCATTTTCCTTTCATTCAGCTAGCTGATTAATTGAACTATTTAATGCAAAATGGATTGTGGTTTTCCAAGTTTCATCCTGTACTGTTTAGAGCTGAAAATTCTGATAATCTAATTTGGCACATAAAGGAACAAATATAAAAATTTAATTAAAATTTTTAATCCTTTGTGGTTCTAAAGGTAGCCTTTGGCTCAAATTCCCCAAACTAAATGATGTCTTCTGTCTATTAAGTGAGTTATCACAGCTTTTTTACAATGAGTAAACTACCAGAGTTGGGTAGTTTGTAATTGATAAAACAAGAATTCTGTCACTGTATTTCCATAAAGAAGGTAGCACAAAGTGTATCACTTTACTCCTTTGTCTTTGGATACAGATATTAAAAGAAGTATAGCTAGCCTATGGAAATGTCTTAGAGACAGCCATCTCTTCTCTAAAATGGACATCATTTTACAATTTACAGTTTTTAAAATGCAAAGTCAATGCTTTGATGGTGATCATGGCAAGATGATTATAGCCCGTCCTGCAATTTATTTTCCTCAAGATTTTGTTAAAAGTCAGTGCAAATTCTTGAGTTAAGAATCACAACAGATAAAAAGTACCTCCTTTAGTTTATCCTAAATAAATATCCAGATGACTTAAGCTGAAGTGAAAAACCAAGTTTCAGAACTAAGGACTAAGCAGCTTCGTTATATAGTTTGAAATCACACTGGGCAATAAACTGATGCAATTTCCTTAGGTAAACTAGTACCTTAAGGTGAAAAGAGTATAATTCAGATGCTCCTTCAATGACAACAAAGGCAATATTATTTGGCACCCTGCATCTCTAACATCAGTGGACCCCACGGTAGAATTGAGGCTAAATTTTATGATAAACAAAAGATTTTCTTGGCTAATTTACTCTTCTCCACTTCAGGAAAAGTACTTAAAGTCTCCTCTCTTGATAAATAAAAACCATACAACACACCAAACATGAGATGCTCAACGCTGCTCAAACCTACTGCTTTTGAAGTCAACATGAGTTTTATTGTTGCCTTGAAACTAGAGCAGAATTAGGTCAGCACTGAGCACTGTTGTGGATACCAATATTAAGCAGGTGTGATGACCCAATGGATCCTTTCACTATTTATCTTTCCTGATTATGTGACTATTTGCATGTTAAAACATACTTTAATTGCCAGGCTTTCCTCAAAAGTAGCAATCTTCTCTCTTCCTTCTTCCACACAGTCTTGCAAAGTTGCTTTCTCTTTATCAAGTTGTGCAAGTGTTTCTTTCAAAGCACAAGCTCCTCTTGTTGTACATGACTTTGTCTTGAAAAGTTATCTGGACACAATCAGGTCTCATTTTTATTAATTCAACCCATTTGAAATAAAAATTATTTTGATACACTTCTAAAGCATAAAATAACATGGCGAAAACATGAAAGAAAACACTGAAACATGTACCTTTTTGAAAAATAAATAATCCAACTAATACTTATAGCACTGCATTCTTCCTTAGATTGAGGCCTCAAATGACTTGGCTTAAAGCAAATCTATCTTTAAACTGCAAAAATTTAGATCATTAAAAATAACTTTCTTGGGTATTGTAACAATAAAGGCTTAAACACTATTACAACAGATAGAAGCAATATGTAGACTATAGCGTGCAATGACTGATGAAATAAGAGATCGATATCCTGATATTAGCCAGTTTTTCTGAAATAAATTTTTAATTAAAGTGAACTTCATGTAAAAATAATACATTTATAAAATTCAACACCACTTAAAAATTGCCAAGATAATAATGAAAAAAGCAATCCACTCACTACAAAATCAAGTTCTAAAAGATGTCTCTCCCTATCTGCATTCAGCTAATAAGGTGTTACACACTACATTTACCTTTAAATGGTCAGAGAATCAATCCTTATATGATCTACACACATTGCATTTGCAGAGGAGAAACACAGAAACCCTTCTCACAGTGAACCTTACATCTCATAAAAACCATGCAGGCTGCAGAGTACTCTTTAAATATCAGTGTAATGGTACTTATTTGAATTATACTTATTAACCACTTCAAGGAGACAAAACATCCAAAGTAAAATGACCTGTAGCTCAGTCTTTCAGGGACATGATAGCATATATTCACATTCTATTTTTTCCGCAGAAACTCCCTATTTCAAAATGCAAGATGAAAGGCACTCAAATTTCCACCCCATATTTTTGAATGCATGGCTCTGGAAGTGTTCAAACCCAGCTCTAAAGAAAATTCTGATGGAACAACTAATCCTGGAAACCATTTCCAGATACTTTAAGGACAAGAAAGTCATCAGTAGTAGTCAGTGCAGCTTCACCCAGGGGAAGTCATGCTTGACCAACTTCAGAAACTTCTATGATGAAATAACTGGCCTGGTAGATGAGTAGATGAGGGGAGAGCAGTGGATGTTGTCTGCCTTGAGTTCAATAAGGCCTTGACACTCCTATAAGATACTCATAGATGAGCTGTTGACATAAGGGCTGCATGAGCAGACAGTGAGGTGGATTGAAAACAGCCTGAACAGCCCAGCACAGAGAATCGTTATCAGTGGCACAAAGCCTAGTTGGAGGCCAGCAACTAGTGGTGTTAATACTGTGTCCAGTCCTGTTTTACATCTTCATTGATGATCTGGATGATGGGGCAGAGCGTACCTTCAGGAATTTTGCTGATGACACAAAACTGGGAGGAGTGGCTGATACACCAGAGGGTTGTGCTGCCATCCAGAAGAACCTTGACAGGCTGGAGAAAGGGGCAGACAGAAACCTCATGAAGTTCAACAAAGGCAAGTGCAAAGTCTTGCATCTGAGGATAAGCAGTCCCAGGCACCAGTACACACTGAGGGCCACCCAGCTGGAAAGGAGCTTGGCAGGAAAGCTGGGGGTCCTGGTGGACACCAAATTGAACCTGAGCCACCAATGTACCCTTGCTGCAAAGAAGGTTAACAGCATCCTGGGCTGCATTAGGGCAAGTATTGCCAGCTAATCAAGGGAGGTGATCTTTCCCCTCTACTCAGCTCTGATGAGACACATCTGGAGTGCTGGGTCCAGTTCTGGTCTCCCCAGTACAAGAGAGATATGGACATACTGGAGAGAGTCCAACAAAGGGCCGTGAAGATAACTGAGGGACTGGAGCATCTCTCCTATGAGAAAAAGCTGAGAGCTGGGACTGTTTAGCCTGGAGAAGAGAAGGCTTGGGAGGGATCTTATAAATGTATATAAATACCTGAAGGAAGAGGACAGAGCTAGTTTTTTTTCAGTGGTTCCCAGTGACAGGGCCAGAGGCAATGGGCATAACCTGTAACACATGAGGTTCCCTCTGTATATCAGGAAACACTTTTTTTTTTACTGTGAGGGTGACCGAGCACCAGGTTGCCTAGGGAGGTTACAGTGTCTCCTGCCTTGGAGATATTCAAAAGCCATCTAGACATGGTCCAGGGCAACTGGCTGTAGGTGTCCAAGCTTGAGAAGAGAGGTTGGACAAGATGACCCTCAGAAGTACCTTCCAACCTCAACCATTCTGTGATTTTAAGCAAGGGTGTGTTATCACCATTTTAAAGAGGACGAATGGACACACAAAGATCAATTGAAAATGCTATCTGATTATTTTGGATGCCTAAACTGTGACCTAAATTTTCAGGATAGAAAGTATTACATGTTCAGAAAAACCAACCATGGATTGCTGCCACAGCTGTGAGTGCTCAATATTTCTGATAATTAGTAACCAAAGTCTCAAATCAGGCACTCTGAAAATGGGTCATATGTATACTTAATGAGCAATTCTGAAAAGTTTAGCTGTGCATCACCCCAAAACTCTAATGTACATACAGCAATAGTATAAAATACTGCATAACAATATTTAACAATTTAAATAGTGCGTGTTTTCTCTTTCTGCAATTACCTACTTTATTCACTGCATTTTCAGCTAAGGAGAAGATCTGACAGACAAGCTTGGTTCATTAGACAACACTGATTTACTCCCTACAAAACTGCAAAAGTTGGAGCAAAGGCTCCTACAGAAAAATACCATGATAGTCTAATTAAAAACAATACCATAAGTTAATAAATAAACCCCAGGTTGTTGTGGTTTGGTTTTTTTTAAACCTTAAGACTGGCATTCCCAACTTCTTGGTGTTTGTCTCCAAAATAAGTTACTTAACGTGTGTGAAAAACAAAAAGTACAACTTGGATTCCCATCATGTGGTATCATAGAAGACAAACCACTGGGGGACTATACCGCTGTTCTCTCTGCAGACAAGCACTGGAAAGAGACACTTGGCCAAGTTTACATTATTTTGCTGACAAGAGAAGGTAACACAAAACTTGGAAATCCCGAGTTCCATTCCAGACTCCAAAAGGGAAAAAGTTCTCTAGTGGGCACACACACTTTCTTTCCATCTTCTCCAATTCTACCTCTCCAAGAAGATACCATTAGCTAGACTTCTTCCCTATCAATCCTAAATCCACATTTTCCATCTCAATCTTCTTTTACTTCCAATCTTTCTCCTGTTTTCAGCTTTATTGTCCAAGTCCTAAATATTCTGTGTGTATAGCTGCTTACAGTTTCTAGTCATGGTGCATGTCCAAGAGCTCCATGTCCTACCAACAATCTCTGAAGTAGTCATCCAATTTTAAGGATCTTTCCAGTGTCTTTAACCACTTCATACTAGCTCTCCTCACTGGATACCTC